TCTTTTTTACCCTTTTTTAGAATATGTATTCTGTACATCAGAGAGTAGTTTTTTTGGTTTTTTGTTGTTTTGGTTTTGTATGGGCATTCTCACTGCTTTCCTGTACATGATGTTTTTTGCTTTCGTTTGTATTGATCTTTACCATAATAACAGAATAAGAGAATGACTTATTCGTGGTTGATAACATAGCTCTGAAATCATCATTTTTTCCCTCAGTTTTGTAGCTTAACCTCATATAACTGATTATAAATGCTATTACAGCAAAGACAACCTGGGATTTCTTAGCTGTTAAGGTAATCTCCAAAGAAAAGGACATTCATTCCTATTCCAGCTCCATTGCTTAGGCAGTTTTACAACAAATTTAAGCATGGAACGTCAAAGCAACGAGTCACCATCAACAGTGGTCCATCCTATCCCATCTCCAGGCCAGAACAGTGAATATCACCGTTTATAAAATATAGTCAGTGACAAGACTCACTTTTTTTGGTGCTGTTGTTGTTGTTGTTTTCTGTGTTTGTTGTTAAGATATTCCAACCCAGGAGAGTGAATAGTGAGTTTATTCATACACATAAATTCAGGAACATCAGGAAAACACTAAATGGCATATATTTAATGTCAATCATGACGAATCAAAGCAGTCTTAGAGAGTATCATATACTGTAGGAAAGGGAGAACCTATATATAACAGATTTGTTCTAGGACAAGCTGCTCTGCAAGTCCTGCAGCCTTGTTGTAATCCTGCTGTTACCCATTCCTGTAAGAGCATGGAGAATTTGCCTACGCTGTTTTGTAGGATATGTGCTAAGGACTATGAAGTGAAATCATGAGCCTATTGAAGTCAACGGCAAAACTTGCTCAGACTTCCGTGGTACTAAAGTTTGGTCGAGGATGGTAAATATGAATCGGTGCGCAGCAGAGACACAAACTGTAATGCATAAAATCATGGTTCATCACCATGTAAGGATGCTCTTGTCTACATCATGATAACATCCCAGGATTAGCTAACTTGCCATGAGCCAGTGTAGACGTACGGATTTTAGAGAGAAAAGACCCTCCTGGACCATGAAGCCTAGCCCCCTGTTATCACAGATGTCAATGTTGTAGGAGTCTACACAGTGGCATGTCAGGTTTTTTGCCCAGTTAATTCAATGAGAACTGGTGAGTCTCTAAATATGCAAGCCTCACAGCAACTAAACCCAAAGAAACAAGTAGCAAGTATAGAAGTACAGAATGGCACAACACCTTCTCCTGAAATAATGATATTTCCGTATATCAAAATATATTTTACATTCAGAATACATAGAATTAACATTTTACATTTCAGAATACATTTACATTACGTTTTACTTCTACATTCTGTATTTCTAGAAAATTCAGTTACCATTTTTAATATATTTCCAGTGGTTCCAGGGGATACACTAGGCTTTGAGACATAATAAGGGTTCTCGTTGGCTACTTGTCCCTGAGACTACTGATTTTCAAATCAAGAGCAATGAAAAACAGTAGAAACAAATTAGGACCAGTTGAAAGATGGAGCATCTTTCGCAGCTGTAGCACTTCATACGATGACTGCTGCCATTCAGGTTTGGAAAGGCACCGTTCACAGGATCCTTTGATCAAAGTAGCATGTTCACTCGGTTTGGTCCCCTGTAGGTGCTTCCTCCCAGCCTCGTTGCATTTCTATTTGTGCCCAGGGAGGGTAAAACCATGCCCTGAGTCACAGTCACACAGTGAAACTGAAGTCAATGGCCACTTTTGTCTCCTTAAAGCTGTAAGGAGCGTTGCTGATCCTGGAAATTCTGGTCACTGTTTTGTGGCAAAGCTGTATTTATCCTTTCAGGGCCATTGGCCATAGCAGAGCCAGCCTGAGTGTGTGGCCACCTTTGATCTTGGGAGAGGTGCTCCTAGCAAAACAGCTGCCCTGTTCCAGAGTAAAGTGAGGCGGGAACAGTTGAGGTTTGAGCTCCAGGAGCAAAGCAAAGCAGCTGAATGCAAGACAGCTACTGAACTGCAGCCGCTGAGAAGTGTGGATCATGCAACTTTTGACTTCAGATGAATAGAGCCTTCTAATAAATTTTAATTTCTCCCTTGTGTTTTTAGAATTATAAAGCTATACCAAAAAAATCAAATATAGATTCTTTTCCTATCCCTTTGCTATCACATGCACTATTCCATATAATTTCGATCAGTCTGAGCTCAGACATCTGTATTCTTAGTCTATGTTGTTAGGACCCATTCAATGTTTGATTTAGGACGTCTTTTTAAATATCACACATGCTCCAAGTAGGATTTTCTCTAAGGGCAACTTTTATGTTCTTATGGCTGAGGACTGTCACTCAGATGGGGTTAAAGAAATTCTTTGCCATGCTTTGGTACCTTCTGCCTGTACCCTCAAGGTCTTTCCAAGGCAGCTTGTGTCCACCCTGCCCAGGGCCGGGTGGCAGAGGCCATCTTCCTTCCCTTGCCACCCCTTCGGTTCAGCCTATGGGCACAGATCCCCCTGGTAGCCCCATGGGTGCAGAGGCATGCGACATGTCCTAGTGGGCTTACCAAGAGTTAAAGGGCTGAGGCAGAGCACAAGGACTATGTCATTGCCATTGCAAGCTCCAGACGGGAGGGATCTTTGGCAACATTCCTCGGTCTCTGCATGAAGGCCAAGGTAGCCAATTACTGTAGCTAGATGAAATTATATATTCAGTCTAGATTTAGACGAGACAGAATAACTGATTGCATTCCTTGGGATACTTGAAAGAAACACCTCTCAAAAGAGCTCTCATTCAAAAGCAATCATTGTTTGCCCAAGTATGTTTCTCTTTCGACTGATGTAAATCTAGTGCATTTTTTCCTTTACACTGTTAAATCTTTTTATTCTTTCAGAATCAAAGAGACTTAAGACTTGTTTGATATCCCTTTTTTTTTTCCTTCTGGCTCACTGCTGTATTTGAGGCCCAGGCAACCTGCAGATGGATCATTCCCATAGCTCACAAGGAGCCCTTCTGCACTCCTCTGTCCTGAGGCTCCTGCCGTTGCTGGCTGGTGCCTCCCAAAGCCCAAATGGCAGTGAAGAGGCAAACTGGAAACACGTCTCTGCAGCATGCAGCCTTAAGGAAAAGCTCAGGAGCATGGAAAACTGTTGAAAGTTTTTTCTCTGTAGCTACCACGAGAGGGAAGCCTTGGCCAGCCAGCCCAGCCCGGCTGCTGCCTTGGCCCTGAGGAAAAGCCACTTTAATCCCCGGACTGTCAAACAGCCCCAGTGCCAGAGCCGTGGGCACTCTCCCCTCAGCCTTGCATTAGTAACGAGAAGGTAATTGGGGCTTTTACATGCTTAAGCAATTTTTCTAAGTCATTTCTGTTTATCCTTACAAAGCTATGGAAGATTTTGTGATTTTTGTTTTATTTATCGTCAGTAATGGAAATGTCTAAAAAAAGGCAGCTCTGAACTCAAACTAAGGAAATGAACGGGCTAAAAAGTTCCCCTCTGTCAAGTAAAGCTGCTTAGTGACTATGTACTCCTCTGCTGGGACAATGTGAAGGAGGGGAAGGAAATGCAATTTTGTCTGAAACATTGTGTAATAAAAAAATCGCACTTCAAAACTGTTTCAAGTAAAAATGTTACAAGAAAAAACATAATATGGGGGGGGTGGATTTTTTTCTAATCATTTTTGTATTTGGAAGGGTTTGAGTATACATAGGCAATTTTACTGTTTTCATGATGTGGTCTGATCATCACTTTCCCCCATCTTTGAGGAAGTCTTTCACACAGCAACAGGGAGACAACATTTGAAGAAATAAACAGAAAAATGTCCTTTTGAGTCTGGCCCTATATTTTACAACCCTTTCTATCATTACTTCCACGAGAACTGACATATTCTCCTGCAATGACAATTATTGGTTTTATTGCACAAATTTTCTACATTCCTCGGGACTCAGCTCCAGTTCAGCCCATCTGCAGGCTGCCCAGCTGAAAGCAAACACCCGCACATGTCTCTGCACACTGAAGCCATAGCTGAGGATTAGAGGATAACTGAGCGATCAGCTTTTATGTGCAGGCACTGGAGTGTTGACGGCACTCGCTACTTGAACCAGCCTGTGCAGCTGTCCGCGGAGGAACGGCTCAGTGTGGAGGGCAAGGCACAAAGCAGCTAAACTAGCCCACGGCTTTCTGTGGCTGTGCTTAAGGTGCATCTGGTAGCCCAGTTAGCCAGCTTAAAGGTCTGTCTCTGCTTCAGCAGCCTAAACTGGTATGGGAGCGTTCAGCCTTGGTTTGAGTAGAGCACCCCTAGGTGCTTTTTAGCAAGGCAGTGTAGCCCAAGCGAAGCTCTGCCCCCACATGGCTCCTACCGTTCCCAGTACCACAAAGCAGCCTGCGCCGAACGGTCTTGGCACTGTGCCAGGTAGAAGTAGCTTGACGGAAGATAGTATTTTGACCATGGATCTTCACGTGGCAAGAAGCAGAAAAGTAGCTGGCCAGTAAAGGAGGATTGAGGCAGGACGTGAAGCAAAATGCTTCACCCATCAGCTCCCTGAGATACCACAAAATTATGCAGTGGTTGTAGAGCACAGGAACGCTTACTGCACCTTCAAGAGTGAGCAAATAAATTCCCAGAAGATACAGTGCAAGGACTGTGAAAGTTTGCAGAGAGCTTTTCCTGTCTTCTTACTATCTGTGTGAATAATCAGGGGTGGGAAACTTGAAGAGGAGTCAGTGTACACAGGGGTTTGCACTGGAATAATGAAAAGGAGCTTGTCCAGAAGAGGAACCACATCTCATCTTCACACCACCTGAGGACCTTCATGCTTGCAAAAGTCAGGGTGAATATTCAAACTGGGTAGGCTACAGTGTGAGCAGAAAAAGAAAATGCTGCAGTCAGGCAGAGACTAAGGAATGCAAGTCGCTGGCATATGGGTTGGCAACTGTCTGTGTTTTCAGACAAGAAAAGATGGATTGAAATAACAGACCATCTGATTTCATTCTAACAGGAGATGAGAGAGGCACAGAGAGATGGACAAGGAGATCTACTATAAGTCAGCCAGAACAGAAGGGAATCGTGAGACCTCCTTCGTCAAGTAAGGTCTTTTTTGTCCCAAATAGGAAGCCTCTAGCTTTGTCATTAAACCTGAAAGACCTAGAAACGTCAAGTTGCTCACACAAAACCAGCTAAGCCTAGGTTAAGCAACTAGCAGAAATGACTAGCTGGAGCAGAGGTGGCAGCCAGGATAGTAATACTCAATCATTTGGACAGATTTGTCTTTTCTTCCATTAAATCAGTGGTTCTGTCTGCTCTGCTTTGTGCTCCACCACAGCTGTAGCGCTCAATTTCCATGCTGTGTAGCCAGCAAGAGGCCGAGACTAAGCCTGAGAGGTGCTTTTCTGTCCTGCCTTCTGTTCCTCTTCAACAGACTTTTTCCTTCCCTTTCTAGACTATTATACTATCTTCTTCTGCCATTCTCCTACTCTGCTGTCTTTATACTCGTTCCCCACATTTAAAGCGTTTTGAATTGCCTCTCCCTTCTCTTCGGAAACACCTTTCCTCTGTCCCCTCATTTGAGGGCCTGTGGGTCAACTCCAAGGAGGATGCATGAGTATAAACTCTTGGCTTGCTTTCCATGGCTCTTGTACATCATGATAGCATTCAGTATATACACGAATTGTGCTCAGTGCATAAACTGTCTCTTTCATCAGTGAAAACACACCCCCTTGTGCCTGGCAGACCAGCTCTGTGGTTTTTACTGTGTGTCGTAGCAGAGGGATGCCTGCAAGCAGAAAGGTGTGAAGGCAGGTTCAAAGGATCTTCAGCTGTGAAAATTTATCAGCTGTCTCCCCGAGCCTAGGAAGGTTGGATCCAGTAGGCCACTACAGCCGTGGAGCAATCTCACTGCGTATGGGTAAAATAAAAATGCAGAGCTCCACAAAGCACAGCCTGGGTATGTAGGAGCACCTTGAAATAGGGTTTTCCTTTTTCTCAGTAAACATTTATCCTTACAGTCCCACCTCCGGTCTGCACTGAGTGGCCTCGGCACTGCTGTGCCATATTGAACCCCACGTGGAATTTTTCAAAAGCTTTGTGTTCCCCTGAATGTGTCTGTAGCTCCCTTCCAAACAGAAGGAAAGGGTTATATGCGTCATTCACAGTCCTTGTTTACACAAAAAAACCCCAGACTCTTAAAGGAACGTGACGTATGCACAAAGTCAGGCCAGTTGCCTTTTTTAAAACACAGTGACACACTTTAAGGTTGCCAGATTCTGCAGCTATTACATGGTATGCACATGGTGAAATTTTTCATACTAGTCAACATTTCCCTCAGTCTGATTTTAATTAAAAACAGATTGGGAGGCTGAGGGAAAAAAAGAAACTAGAATTAAGAATTACAAAAGGCAAGCACAAACCCTCTGATAATTGTCCCTGCTTGGGGTTAAAACGTATGCAAAAGCCTGCAAAACGCCTGTCAATGAATCACTGTGGAATGTGTTGATTTGCTTAATTCATTTGGAATCGTGACATGATTCATTCCCAACCTGGAGACCAAACCAAGGGTTTGAAGGGAAAGTGCTGGATTAAGCAGGCTCCTTGCAAAGAACAAGGACAGTTTTAATGCTAGCCTTTGAGATCTGATTCATTAATACTCTGCAACGTGATTGCAAAACATGACCGTTTTGACTTGGTAACATCAGGTACTCATTTTGTAGTGGTGTAAATTGGCTACATGTGGGCTGGACAATGCTGAGTTGAACTTTATTTCAGTAACTAAAAAGTGCTTTCTAGTATTTGTATGTACTTTTTGTACAGTTTTGAAAACACTGTATGGAAATCAGTGTAACTAATTTGCAGATAGGCTCCTAAATCAGTTAGGTACTGTAAAAAAATATTACTCAAAAGACATCGTCATTCTTTTTCAGTTAAGATTTGTCAAGCATTACATCTGATTCACATGGGAAAAGAAATTTTGACCTTATGAGTCACTTCAGTCTTCGGATGCTTAACTAAATGTACGGTGTGATCTGACGCATGACTAATGCATTTGTGTATTTAAGAGTCTGCTGTTGCTAATGGAAGTTACAGAGCCATATCTAGAAAAGAAGACTTCAGAGGATCCTGTTTCATTAATATTAATCCATACATAATCAGCTGCTGTTTTGTAGATCTAAAAAAATCCTTAATGCTCTGTACCTTTTAGGACAGCATTTTAAAACTCCTCTACAGTAAATCTTTGTTTAAACATTTTACTGATCTACCATTAACAATGTCATCTTATTTTATTTCAGCTCATTTGCAAGGACTACACTCTACTTAATTAATACAATTTTTGTTGCTTCCTGGTAACTTCCTTAGTTACAATATCACTCGCTTCTCCAACTTGCCACTACCATATATTTCATTCGAAATTTTAGCCTCCTTTTGTTAACAAACCACTTGTGAAGTGACCTTTATTCTCTCCAGATGTATTCATTATTCACAGGTAGTTACCAAGTAACCTGGACAAATTCTTCACGTGATGCGTCTCTTATGAATTGCCCTCTATGGCTATTTATTGTTGATGATGTGTGACTAAGGACTTGAACTCTCTGCTTCCTTTTCTACCCCTTTGGTGTGCAACCCTCCATTTGAAAAGGATAGTCATGAGTCAAAGTGCTTGAAACCTTTTAATCACCTGGGATTTTTTAACGAAAAACTGTGCTTATAGTAGAAGGAAAAAATGTAGAAAAAAAATTGTTATATTCATCATTCTCCTTGACCAAAATTCTCAAGGAAGAAATTAAATATGTTTCTTAGTGAAAGTTTTTTTTATTATTTTTCTCCTGTTAACACATTATCTATATACTTACTATTTGTCCTGTTCGCTGGATGAAAAGTAATGTAAAATTCTTAGAAAAAGAAGATAAAACGATTTTTACATTTCAGATGAATAGAAAATGAAATTTGTAATCATTTAGAAATCAATGGACAAATTAATTCATTCCGATTTTAATTTACCATGAGAATTAATATTAATCAAAAAATTGCAGTTCACCCTAACAATGCACATTTTTGTTGTAAGTATTCATTCTAACAACATCTCATGTTAAACCTAGTGAAACTTTGGAGCTTTGTGAATATTTTCATTAACACCTGGTAGTAGTTTGAAATACTTGGCTATTGATTTTTTTTCATTCTTTGAATCAGTGTTTATCATGACCACTTAAGATTTTTTTTTTCAGCTCTCTGATGTGTATGCTCTTGATTCATCCCCTTTCCTTTGCTGTTTTTGGCTGCATTTTGCACAGGCACTATCATGGTGTTCGAACATCTATTGCATTGCTCTGACATTATATAATTAATTAATTAATCTGTAATTAGCTATGGGTGCAGAATGGATCAGAAGTGAAACCTGACCTCTGACTACACCTAATTCAAACTTGAATGCTCAAGCCCATCTCAATTTACTTAGGTAATATTATCTTTGTCTCATCCTTCTGCAGTTAGCACTGAACAGAGTGATTATGTGGCTTTCCGCAGGAAGGAGCCAGTAGGAGGCTGTTGAAACAAAAATACCTTTTGACTCTCTCTTCGGTCAAATATAGTGTCACCTCAGTCACATGCTGAATTTAAAACAATCCCAGCAGTGATGCCAGAAAGTGACTCCGGTACCTAATTCTGCAACTGACAGAGAAATGATGTAGCACAAAGAGTAATGGCATGAAAAAGAGCATTTTCAAGGGTTGATTTATTGGACCACGAGGGAGGGAAACTTTCAGCCAGCCAGTCCCAGGGCAGCAGGAACAGAAAGCATTTTCCATGAGCCCACTGGCTTTAGATCTAAAAGAAGGGAACGAGGGCTCTCTGACAAGTCTGTAGTGTCCGTGCCCCACGCAAACTCTTCACAGCTAATGGTAACTCCCTATAAGTGGTAGGGATTAACCATTAGTGGAAGGATTAGCCAGTGATTATTACTCGTCAGGTAAAAACTTTTGCCTGCGGAGCTGCCTGCCTTTTGACAAGACTCAAGGACAAATTCGTGTAGCAAAGGAGCCCGTGAGCCCGTCCTATGCAGAAAACACGTCTGCTATGCAGAAAACACGTCTGCTATCAACATACACCCCAGCGTCAGCTCACAGCGCTGTCTGAGCACTAAACCCTCCTTGATAACTTTGTAAAAAAACATTCCTTTCACATTTTATTTTTAATGTTATTCCAATCGTTGCTCTGTGGAGCAGCGCTAGATCATTACCCTTCCTTTGTCAGAAGCAGTACGAATCTGTAAATTGGCGTTACAACTGTATCTGACACAAATTGGCTGCTCTGCAGTGTTAAAAGTGCCAGGTGTATTGTAGTGTTTTTTGGCTACAAGCTAGTGTAATTATCAGACACTGATTTGGGATTATTGTGTTTCACCACAAAAGGTGACATTATTTGTGCTATTCCGCAGTAGCTGGGATTTCGACGTTACCTTGGCTTTTGCCAGCGGCCATACAGTTTAGCACGTTGCAACGTCGCCAGCTCCCGGGGCAGGCATAGGAGGACTGACGGTCGCTACGGACCCTGCTGGGCTCAAGCACGGTAACAGCCGTGTCAAACTCCTGAACATAATTGAACAGGAAGATGTGTTGATTTAGAAACAGTGCAGGCACTGTAGCAGTTTGGAGGAGCTCTTAAATGCTTAGTCCTTTGGGAGCCAGCTGTGGAGCTGTGGTCTGGATTCAGGCCTGGGCATACTGCAGGCGTTGAAAAGGGATAGGTTTACTCCATGCTAATATCTATTTACCTCTGGCAAAAGGTTCCAGTAGAGTTTTTGTTTCTTGTGTATTTTGTTGCAAACGTGTTTTGAGAAAGCAAATTTATGCATGCATCCATGCTCCGGCTTCAGTAGACATCTTTCTTTACTGATATTTTTCATTTTCTTTAAGCTGCCCCCAGCTACTGCAGCAATTGAAGTAAATGAACAAAAGAAGGCAAAACTTTGTATCCAGAAAAGAGAGAAATTGTGGTTGTTTCAGCAAGATGGCAAAGCCTGTCTGATAGGAAGGGAACCTCTTATTTCTCTGCCCTGTTCTTCTGGAAAGCATTTGATAACAGGCAGCCTCCTATGCA